GGAGGCCGCGCGCAGCCGCCGCCGCCTCTTGCGTCAGCGCCGCGTTGGGGCCGGGCGCGGCGGGCTCCCGGGCGGCCGCGGCCCGATGGTGCTGGGCGCGCGGCGCGATGAGCCGCCCGTCCTCCGCCGGGCCCGGCGCTAGCAAGCCCTGCGGCAAGCAGCAGCCGCCGCCGCCGCCGCAGCAGCAGCAGCAGCAGCAGCCGCACGCCCCGTCCCCGGCCGCCGCCGCTCCCGCCGCCGCCGCCACCATCGCGGCGTCCGGCGGCGGCTCCTCGGCCGTGCCCGCCGCCGTGCTGTCGGGGGCCGGCGGGCCGGTGTCCCCGCAGCACCACGAGCTGACCTCGCTGTTCGAGTGCCCCGTGTGCTTCGACTATGTGCTGCCGCCCATCCTGCAGTGCCAGGCCGGGCACCTGGTCTGCAACCAATGCCGGCAGAAGCTGAGCCTCTGCCCCACCTGCCGGGGCTCCCTGACCCCCAGCATCAGGAACCTGGCCATGGAGAAGGTGGCCTCGGCCGTGCTCTTCCCCTGCAAGGTAAGGGGCGGCCGGGACCTGCCCCGGGCTGCCGGGTCGGGGTCGGGGCCGGGGTCGGGGTCGGGGTCGGGGCCGGGGTCCCGCACGTGCCCGCAGCCCGGCGCTGCCCCCAGCACAGCAAAGGAAGAACTTCTGGGTCCCCGCAGGCCTGCTCTGTGTTCCGGCAGGTTTCTGAAGTGACACGGTGTGGTGGGAGAGCCACCAGCCTTTGGAAACAAGCCTGTAATGAATCTTTCACTGTACATCCTGGTCTAAACTTTTCCTAGTGTCTGGCATTATCAGTACTTTCTAAGACTAGAAGTTTTTTTGTTTCCAGATGTTTTAACCCATGGTGATGCTCAGTTGAGAGAGAGAGTGAGTTTCATGGGGGTGGCAGGAATCCTGTTCCCAACCCTCCCATTAGCTCTTGCAATCCTCCTTCGGAAGGACAGGGTCTGATAAGCTGTCAGTTCAGTAATGATGCCTGAATTTATTTCTTTTTGAAGTCCATTCTGTCCCAGTACTATTTCAAGTATTCAGATTAAACATTTAAGTCTTTTTTTTTTTTTTCCAAGTAAGCGTTCTGTTTGAAAGAACAAGGTGAACTGCTCTAAGGTTCATATCCTTCCTAGTGCACATTTATCAGGGTGTGGGCAGTGCTGAGTGGGCCCTTTTTACATCTTCCCGGAGTCCCTCAACGCTTAGGCTCCGCAGTAGCAAAAGCACTTTAAAACCACAGGCTGGAGAGATGGTGGGACAGACACAGGAACTGCTGAAGCCATCGCTGACATGGAATATGAGAAGGAAGATCTGAAATAGGGAGCTGCTGGTGGCAACTGTGAGGAGCAGCAGCCAAGCAGGACTGGTGGAGCCGAGTCCTGAGGTTTCTGGTGGGAGCTGCCCGCAGAGCAGCCGTGCATCGCAGGTGCCTGCCAAAGCCAGGCCCTAAACAGCCTTTCTGTAGCCAGCCCGCAGGAGCCAGGAGCCATTAACGATGCAACGGGAATAATGGCACCTCCGGAGTGAATCATCCGTGTTAATTCCAGCAGCTCTGCAAGCGCAGGCGGTGGTGAGAGAGCACCTGTCTGAGAGCTGGCTGGGCCACAAGGCAGAGCGGGATGGCTGCGGGCACCGCACCGAGCTGCTGGCAGCGTGGGGCTGTTTCACCGCTCGGCTCCTGCGTGGGAGGCAGCCTCGTGGAGCAGGAGCAGATGGCACGTCGTGCTGCTGCACGGGCCCTCTCTCGGGTAAGCGCTGCTGGAAGGGCAGCGCGTCAGGTGCCCGGCAGCGGCTGGCTCTGAGCCTACGGGAATAAGAGCAGTCAGGGCGTTTCTGTCGAGGCGTTTCTGTGTTGTTGGGTTTTGTTTTGCTTTTTTTTCTCTTTCACTAGGACAAATACTGGCCTAGTTTTCATTTTCTGAAGCGTCTCGTCAGTCTAATCTGTGACAACTGGTATTCTCTAGTCATCCTTAGTGAAACTGATGCATCAACATTGGAACAGCTCCTCTGACCAGAATCCTTACCGTTGTTTTTTGCATTGAAACGCAACACTGATACGTGCAGCATGCAAATTTGCCCAGCAGCGGAACAACCCGGCAGGACACCTGCTCTTCCGCACATGATACAGTTAAAAGTATAGGAAAAAGAAGAACAAGCCTGCAGACTCTTCCCTTGAAGAGGATAAGGCATTCCTAACTTTGTCCTGTCAGACTTTAATTTACTCCATTGGTAACAGGTTTCTAAAGCCTTTAATTGATGGGATTGGCTTGTTCACGCCTTTAGGTTTTCTTTCTCCATGAGTAAGGGAATAGAAACCAATAAAGATAAGTACGTTTCAGAAAAAGAAAAGAAAAAAAGAGCCTTCTCCTAACCCAAGAATTGACCCAACTGTCAGTCAAGGTTTGGTTCAGGTACATCAGCTATAAGCACTTCTGCAGATGGGCATTCTCTAAATGTAAATAGTAATAAAAAGACCAGCACATGTAAACCAATTAAGAAAGCAGTATTTCCAAAAGTTCTTCCAAGTGTTAGTTCTGTGGTTAACATCATGCTCTTCAAAGCAGTAGCTTGCAGACAGGAGGGATGCAAGTGAGGCTGGAGGTTTGCAGTGCCTGCAGGAAGCCCAGGGCATCAGATAGCTCAGCTTTTTGGTTACGGGACTGAGGGGACTGAGCCAGCAGTGTTTTGGTGGTCTCTGAAACGATCCCAGGCTGGGCTCTGTGCTAGAATCTCCCACCAAGGTGCGCTGGACTGACTGTGCTGGGTTAGTGTTGGCTTGGGGATGTTTGGGTTCTTGGTACAGTGCTCGTGGGCTTATGCAGAGGTGTGAGGATTTGGGAGTTGAACGGCAGCAGTCAGTGTGCTTTGCTGTGAGGCGTTGTGCCAGCAGGAGGACAGAGCCCATCTGGGAGCCGCAGCACACGGCAGGGGCTCTGGAGCGGTGCGGGGATGGCAGTGTGTCCATGCGGCTCTGGGGCCCAGCGCAGAGGAGCTGGGCAAGCTCTGCAGGCAGGCTCTGCATGTCTCTGGCAGCCCCTGGCCACGCTGCCATGACCGCACGCATGCCTCTGGCACAGGGTGGGTTGTGTAGCTCAGGCCGCACAGAGCGTAAGATGGGCAGCGTGCCCGCCTGGCATCCCGGCCAGCGTCCCAGCCCGTTCCTGCCCCAGGCAGGGGCATGCTTCATTCGTACCCACCAGTATCCGTTCAAGGTCTCTCTGCCCCCAGTTGTCTGGGCACCCCAAAGTGCCCTGTGGAGGCAGAGGCGAATAGGGCTCTGCTTCACTTACCTTCTCACACCCTCTCTTTTATGTGGATTTTTTTCTACCATGAGTAATTCCTGTTCTGCTGCTTTCACTTTTCCCAAGAGCAGCGAAATGAAATTAGCATATGTTAATAGTTTTCACTGTTCTTTCTTAGACCCAGAAACAGCAAGGAGACTGTCAAGACTAATTCTCACATCAGTGCTTGCAAAGCCACAAGCACCCACTGCGGAGCTGAGCATCGCCCAGCAGGGCTCGTGGCGCAGCAGCACCCAGCGGCGGGGCGAGGACTGCCTCACCTCCTGCTGCGGCTGGCAGGCAGCGGCTCTGCTTCAGCACCAGGATTTTTAACAAAGTTAGGGGAATCTTTTTTAAGTAGAATTTAAAAAAAAAAAAAAAAGGAAAAAAAAAAAACTGAGCCCCAGAAGACACGGAAGAACAACTAAAAGCAGTTGTCTTTCCAGAATAGTTCTGTGTAGTTCTAGAAATAACTCTGTGAGTAGTACCAGAAATAAGTAGGGCTGAGACATGATTGCACTGACAGAAAATGGGGATTTGGTGCTGCCTGCGTCTGCAGCCACTTTGAGGGTTCATAAATGATTTAAGAAAGAAATGCAGATAATGTAGTTCCCAAATTTACATGGCTTCTGGAAAAAAAACAAACAAACAAACAAACAAACAAAAAAACTGTGGGAGATTTAAATCTTAAAATCACAGTAAAGTTACTGAAAATACAGCTTTTAGTGTCCAAAGCAAAATACAGAAAATTAAGTGCAATCATAATCACACACAAACACCTAATTAATGAATACTAAAGTATTTTTTCCTCATCTTTTAAAAAAGTGCAAGAGGAATAATGTAAAAGTGCTCTTTAGCTATGAAGCTGACTTACTTTGTAAATAGGTTCTGCGACACTGAGATTTTTTGTCCAAAACCAGCTATGAAATAAATCTTGTGATTTCAAGGCTTCATGAACAGACATCAAAAGCCACTTTTAGAGCAATCTTGTGAGATATATTGTGATTGTTAGCTGCTAAAAGCTGGAATTGTGACCTGGCTAACTGAGCAATATAGCATAGGAGAGGCATTTTTATATTTAACCATTTAATCCAATGTATACTAGAAAGCAAGTAGATCTGTAAGTGTTCTTAATTGTTATCTCCAGAGCTACAGTCCTCATATAACCACATGTAGTAGCAGAGGTCTGCGTGCTGCTGTGTTTTGCTAGCCTTTTGTAATGGGACCTGACAAACAGAGCTGTTCATGCCTGAGTTACCTTGGCAGTGGCCATGGAAATGACATGGAGACGGCTGCTCCTGATCTGTGCTCTGTAAAACTCTAGGCAGTTCCTGTTTGTGTTCCAGTTTATGGTAGAATTTACCTTCAACAGCAAGGCAAGCATATCCAATAGCAAAATCAGTGTTTGTTCACACACAGATAGCAGCCCTGTTGGGCAGGTCTGTGGAACTGCATTTAGCAATGTGTAATGAGGGGGGGGTGACCCCTCATGGATAGGTACATCAGTGAGTTCTCAGCAGTGTGATTAATTCAACTTAAAGATGTTTTATGTATAACAAATAAATTGGCTTTTCTAGTTATAAAATACATGAAAAAAATCTATGTACGTAGGGCTTGATTCTTTGGGGGAGTGAAACATCATTCTTTCTAGCTGTCCTAGGAGTGGTGGCTGCATCTTGGGAGCTAGGACAGAGGTACCTCACATAAAGAAGGTCTTCCAAGATCCTTTAATACAGCCATCTCTAAGTAGAGGTATTGCCATATTTCTGAGTTTTCAGATGGTTCTAATCCTTTGAAGAAAAAGGAATCCAGTAAATTCATTTTATTGTACTCTTAGGCTCCACTTTGCAGCAATAAATTGAAAGCCTTCCTGCACCTCACAGCCAATAGTACCATTCTGGATTTTAAAACTGGAAGGTGAGGTAAGGCTGTATATGAACTGAAAAGCTATATAACGATATATAAACTTACATATATCGGACTGATCACTCCCTCAGATTTTCTTCAGACACGTGGTAGGAGGTACACAGAGATGCTGTATGTCCTTAGACCACTTCTGCTACACCATCGCTTCAAGGGAAAGAATGACAGGCTTCCTACGTACGCAAACCACTTGCAGACAAATAGCATATTCATGTTAGTATTGTATGGAAACTTCTGCATGTTATCTAATGCCTACTGTATGGCCTCTTCAAAAATTTTCTTAATTTAAAAAAAAAAGTAATTTTTAAGATTTTCAACAAACTAAAACAAGATCATACATATAAGACACAATAAACTCTAATAAAGTGGTCTTTTGCTTTTCTTTCTGATAAAAATGCATGCTTGTTTTGCTTAATCACAGAATCACAGAATTTCTAGGTTGGAAGAGACCTCAAGATCATCGAGTCCAACCTCTAACCTAACACTAACAGTCCCCACTAAACCATATCCCTAAGCTCTAATATTTACTGTTTAATGTCTTTAATTGATCAGAGATCCCTTACACATGGAGATCTGCCTATGTTACCCTATTTGCACATGTATAGGGCCTGTGCACTCTGGATTTAATGGCACAGCGCTCACTGGCCCTTTCCCAGGTGAGCTGTAGCAGAACACCCAGCACTGCTAGCACAGCGGAGTTTCCAGAGGCACTCTACCAGGCAGCCAGTGGCAGCCCAAACGTTCTCTCTCACACGAATAAGACTCTGGGAAGCAGAGACTCACTGGTTTGGGGGCTGGACCCCGCTGTGTGTCTCCAGCAGATCTCACATCACTGCTAGATGGTGCTGAGCATCTGTCACTGAGCTTGAATGAAAGCTTTGAAAGGATGGAAGGATCTTAAAAGCAGGGATGGATATTCTACAAAACACAGGAGGAGGGAAAAGCACAAGGGGGATGTAAATCCTTGTTGTGTCCCTGAACACTGCTGTTCTACATACATACAGGAGCAGGCAGGCTTTTTCTTTCCTGGAAGCATAATTTGTATCTCAAGCTACTTGTATACTGCAGGGAGAGTCTGCTGGCTGGAGCAGGATAGGGATTTGGACTTGGCAGTCTATTCCCAGCTCTGCTACTGATTTCCCTCGTGGCTCCAGACAAGTTACTTTAATCCCGTGTCGCTGCCTGCCTGCATTTATGAGGTCAGCAATACTGGCCTGTCCCTGCCAAGCACTTTCAAGCTTAGACAATGTTTTCAGAATGCTTTAAGGCACTCAGATATCCTGTCAAAGTGAAGCCCAGACCAACACCTCTGAAGTGACATATATGGCAAAAATATGGAACGCTAAGTTATATATATCATGATGACTTCTGAGCTGTTTCCTCTTAGGAAAGCAAATATGGTGCTAAATAAAATACTGTGAAAACAAGTACATAATACTTCTAAAAACTGGAATACTAGAAATGGAGAGAAAGACAACAAAAAAGCATAAAACAGTCACATCAACCCAGGCATTAGTGGCACATGTGTGCTAATACCACATGCAGCCCTGGTTCCCGTCTCATCAAGGTCATAGTAGAAGTGGAAAAGGTAGAAGGTGCAAGTAGATCAAAGGTATTGTATAACCTGTACACAGGGAAAGACTTTTCAGTGTGAATGAGGGGTACAGTGAATACCAATGACAGTTTACCAAGCAGCATGAGGACAGCAAGTTTTCTCTGTTCCTAGATGATCTTTAAGGGTCTCTTCCAAATGAAACCATTCTGTAATTCTGTTCACAATCTCCCATTGTCAGTAGGGCTCGCCAAATGTCCCCAGCATCACTGTGTTCAGGAACAAACAAAAGGAGGTATGTCACACAGTGATGGAAAAAACCACCAGTGAACTTCATGCTCTTGCTGTGTTCACCACTGGTCACTTTTTGAGGCAGGATGTTGGTCTATGTAGACGTCTGGTTTTGCCCAGCCAGCAGCTATATATTCTTACTTAGGTTTTTGTTACTCAGAGCAGCTCTTCAACACAGTTCAGTGCGATTGAAGTGTCAGCAGGGATATGAACGTGGGGAGAAAACAGAAGAAGTGTACGGTGACCATGCAGCTGGCACTGGGATCTGCGTGTTTGCCTGATGGGGCTTCTCTCTTTGGCAGGAGGACAGTCCCATTGCACTGCAGCACACCTCTGCCCTCCTGCATCTCCTGCTCACATGTGGGAATAAATCCTTTTGCAGAGGATTAAGCAGCAGGGGCAGGCACAGTAAACGAAGGCCCACATTACCATATTATGGCTTATAAAACAAGCTCCTACAGAAGCCCAAGCTATAGTTTCTGTCCTGGTACTTCTAGCACTGTGTTGCAGCATGGGTGATTTGCCAGAACTGAAGAGGATTCTGTCTTTTTGCATCTCAGGCATGTAACCCTTTGAGCTGAAACCTCTTGCGCTTGTATTAATCCAAAAATAAGCATTTAAATGTTGGGGTTTCCTTTGCTGACTTTTTAAAACAGAAGTCCATACAGACAGACTTGTTTTTTTTCAGCCAGCCTTCTGGCACTTCAGACATGCTCTTTAGGATGGCAAAGATGTGGTCCTCACATTTAGTCTCAAAGAAGAATGTCTGTCCTCAAGGAAGTGTTGTAGCATCTGTAAGCAGCCATGCACACAAGCTATAACCTTCACGATAGTGCTAGCAGTGTTGTAGATAACACCACAGCTCTCTACAGGCTGGGGCAGCTATGCCCTTGGAAAGAACAGGAAGGATTTTTTTTTTTCTCTCTAGAGGTAATGAGGAAGCAATGTAGTCAGTGTAGACCGCTGAACTCACTGTAGAAAAAGGAAAAGCATCCCTGTTTGTTTAAAGCAGATTAACCTTCAGAGGTGCCCAGAGACATTAAGAGAAGTCACATGGTGCTTATTTGTGCACCCGCCTCACGCTCAGTGAAAAAATCATCATCTGTCTTCCCACTCCGCACAACTGCAATGTTGAAACTGTTCCAGTGTTAAAACTGTTGGGATTCTGCATTTTAGTTTAATGGAAATGCATTTGCTCTGTGATGGTAATTAGGTGTATTTATTAAAAATACACCACTCTAGTAGCTGTTTGCCCAAACTAGCATCATTTTTTTCATTTTAAAGAAAAGAAAAATTCATACCAGGACCACTTCAGCTGATCAGATCTAACTACATCAGCAAATCTATTTACAACTCAACCTTATAATCCATTTTATCTAAGTGCTTGCATTAAAAACAAACAACAACAACAAAGTACAGGAATAACCTATTTTTAAGAGGGAAAAAAAAATAAGCTCAGCTCTAAGTTCAGAGCTAAATAAAAGTATCTAATATAAAATTTGCAATGAAAACGAGAGTTCTAGTTGATCAGAGGTGGGAGCAATGAACAGTTATGCTGGGCATGTTTCCTGATGCCTTGTATTTGGTCTTTTTCCAGTACGCAACGACAGGCTGCTCTCTGACACTACATCACACAGAAAAGCCAGAACACGAAGACATCTGTGAGTATCGTCCCTACTCCTGCCCGTGTCCTGGAGCCTCCTGTAAATGGCAGGGATCTCTGGAAGCCGTGATGTCCCACCTTATGCATGCCCACAAAAGCATTACCACCCTTCAGGGAGAAGACATCGTTTTTCTTGCCACAGACATTAACCTTCCAGGTGCTGTTGACTGGGTCATGATGCAGTCATGCTTTGGTCACCACTTCATGCTGGTGCTGGAGAAACAAGAGAAGTACGAAGGTCATCAGCAGTTTTTCGCTATCGTGCTGCTCATCGGCACCCGTAAGCAAGCGGAGAACTTTGCATACAGACTGGAGCTGAACGGCAACCGCCGCCGGCTGACCTGGGAGGCAACGCCCCGCTCCATCCACTGACGGGGTGTCTGCTGCCATACTCAACAGTGACTGCCTAGTTTTCGACACAGCTATAGCACACCTTTTCGCTGACAATGGAAACCTTGGAATTAATGTGACCATTTCTACATGTTGTCCGTGATATATTTGTGTAGTTAGTGAAACCCTTGGCTGTCTGACATAGTGCTTTACATTTACCAAGAATTTTCTTTTCGTTCTGTTTTTTTTTTGTTTTTTTTTTTAAAATGATATTCAGCTATGTCTTTGTGTATGTTAAGGTTCCTAACTAGCCAGCATTTTTAAGTTTGGAGAGAAGAGGAACAAAAGTGTCCTGTAAGTAATATAAGCAAGAAAAGTTTTTTTAAATTCTTGGGTGCCTTAGGAAGATTTCCCCCCACACGGACACCTTTTTAAATGTAATTATATTTTATTTAAAGAGTGCTTCCATTAGACGTACGACTTAAAAGACTTGAAGGACTGCATTCCTGTTTGGAGTGCACCTGAAAGCCCTTTCAGCATTTAGGCTGTAAGTCTGTCTGAAAACAGACTTACTCTCACTGGTGACTTTTGAGAGTTTTCAGTAAGTGGGAAAAGAAAGAAATCCAAGCAACTTCTCACAGACCTCCCAAGAGACGTGGCTCAAAGTAGATCAATAGGTACTTCAGTGTTGCTCCTCCATTTCCTGCTACCTTATTAAAAAGGGATGGGCATAGATTATTTGCTGTGTTTTCAAAAAAAGGGGGAGTGAGGATGGCTGAAGCATAGCAGGTTTTACAGAGCATGCAAGATGCCTGCTCTGGTCCATTTTAGGGAGACCAGGGAGCCCAGCACAAGGCACAGCTGCTCACAGCTGGATACTGGTGAAAGCAGGAGACACACAACTTAATACATCTCAAACAGCTAGAGCCAATAATATAGAAATATATTCAAGCTGTCTACATGCAGCTTCCCTTGGAGACATACTTGATTATTGTAAAAGACTGACTAGAATAATATAGCAAGAGCTTTATGGCCAGTGTCATGTCATTTGCTATTTAAGTTTTGTTGCCATATTTACTTTTATTTTGTAATAAATATTTTGCAAAAACTACACTGCACTAATGCACATGTGTGGTAGCGGCTATTGCTTCCAGGTCGCTCGGTATTCCCTGCCTCGCTGAACACGCTGAGCTCTTCCTCCAGCCGCTCAGGGGCTGCAGGATTTGATTCCTAGCCTGACTCATGCAAACTGAAATCTCAGCATGCCACCAGAGCTGAATCTGCCTGCGAATCCCCCTCTGCTACCAGAAGCCTTCTGTCTGAATCAAGAAAAATACTAGTTCTGCGTGTGACTTTGCAGAGTATTAAGATTCCAGTTGGAAGAGGCAATATGTTGTGAGGTTACACAGCCTGCTGAATTACTCAGGAGGTAGTAAGCCCCACGATAGTGGAAAACTACATGATAAGTGACAGACGAAGCTTGGTGTAAATAACTGTAAAATACATGAGGAAGAAAAATAGTCCTAACTATATGCTATCAGGGAAGAGATTTCTGGAGTTATGACACAAAGTCCTATACAAATAGCACACAGCATTTGGCAGCAGTCCATAGAAAAGCACAAGAGAATTACAAGAAAAGCTTCAGAGTGGGGAAGCTTGTTCTGTCCTTGAGAATTTGGAAGTGATCATGGAAAAGGAAAAAAAAAAAAAAAAAAAAACACGAGGAATTACTGTAATCTTTTTGTATTCGGTTCCTGTAAAGATCCTCCATTTGATCTCATTTACACTGTGCTGGCAGAACTCCAGCAGCATCAGTCAAATGTACTAATTTACTCCTGCTCACGCGGGATCAAAGTCAAGCTCTGGCTTTCACAAGAGTTAACACCTGTGCATTTAGCAGGACTTGTTAAGCAAGTGTTCGTAAGAATTTAATTCATTTTCCCGTATCTCAGTAACATTTATAGTGGAAGACAATTTTTCTTACTGACAGTTGGGGCTTAAGAGCTTTTTGTGTAAAACAAAACTGAAGCAAGTCTTTGACTGTAGCAGGATTCATGAAATTAAATTAGTTAGTCCTATGTTGCTAGTAACCCCCAGTAGATAATTTAACACAATTTCACCATGGTTTCCTACACCATTCAGGTCTTGTGAAGAAACAGATACCGTTTGTTACATGTTACAGAAGGGAAAAAAATAAAAAGAAACACCACCCAGTATCTTTCTTACAACTGAGTTCAGAATAAGGAATACCTCAGCGTGTACTGCCAATAAGCCTTGTGTTTCCCCTTTAGATCAGTGAATGAACATGTGACATTGGTTCCAACACCTGATGAAATCGTTTCCTTTCTTACAAAACTGGGTACCGAGGAGCTGGCACAACCTCCTGAGGGCGATGTCCGAGGTTGGGGCAGGAGAGGCTGGCAGGACAGGAGCACATTGCCAAGGAAAGCAGCAGCACATCAGTTATGGAAGTTTCTCGGAATACTCACAAACATCACAGAAGTCAGCCTGGTTTTATTAACAAAACTCCTGACCACAAACAAAGCAATCTGACTGAAACAGACAGAAATGCACCTTGGGAAAACACCACCCGAGGTGACCAGCAGCAGTGGGACCACTGCAGGGCCAGTGCCACCAGCTGGGGGAGAGCTCTGCCCGCGGCCTGCAGGCCCTGCAGCATGGCAGCGCCAGCACGGCCTGCATCGTGGCAGCGCCAGCAGGTGTAGTGGCACGGCCATGCCAACACCACCTGACTGCAGCTTGTGACAGGGCGATACGGGGCATCAGGAGCTGTACCTTGGATGTTTTATTTTATTCCTGTTGAGTTGATACAACATATTGTTGAGTATTTTCCCTAAAAGCATTTCCACTTTAAACAAATGGAAAAATGCAAGGTCTTGCAGGAACCACTGAGTTCACCACAAGTGTGGCACTGCCTAAGCGCTTCCACGCTGTGGCTGTGCCATTGCCAACACACTCTCCATTTTTAAAAGTGAGTACATCGGTCATCCTCGGTAACACGGGTGCTTGTGAGGCCACCACAGCTGCAGACACCATGTCCGGACAGCAGAGCACATCCACACTGCTGTGAGTTGAAGCCCAAGCCTGCGTCTAATGCCGCCCATGGCAGATGGCCCGTAGCAAACACGGCACAGAGCTGTGCCACCCACACAGCACCCCAGCACATCTGAGCACCCACCCCAGCGGCACCAAGTTTCGTGAGCCCTGATCCAGCTCCCCTCAGGCAGGCAGCCACAGCCCCACCATGCCCAGGCCCCCATGGCCCCAGTCTGCCTTCACGCCAGATGGCCACCCCACACCACAGCCCCAGGGCGGCAGCAGTGGCTGCAGGCACTGCTCCCTGCGGGGCTCGCCTCACGCTGCTGGCACCAGCCCCAGGGCACAGGGCCTCAGGCAGTGCAGCCCGGCAGCGCCTGCGCCTGCCGCGTCGCCACGGAGACCGCACAGAGACCAGAGGCCGCCATGGCCGGGGCCGAGCGGCTCAGCACAGGATCAGCCTCACCCCGCGCTGCTGGCTGAGGGCCAGCCCCACAGCCCTGCTCGCGTGAGGGGCGCACAGAGGAAGCCGGTATCGTCATCCGCGGGGAGTGCTGAGATGAGCAACAGCGGTGCTGCGACACGAGCAGACACCAAGCCGGGCACTTGGTGACACCCAGGCGAGACGGGGCAGCGGTGGTGAGGCGGCTGGGGGACGCCAGGGCAGCGAAAGCCCAGGCAGGGCATCCCAGGCACTGCGGGAGAGCGGGGTCGCGGGCACCGTGAGGCCATGTGCCAGCCTTCCACAGCCTAACTCGGGGCACATCCGTGGCCTTTAGACCAGACACGAGGTGTCCTTGGCCACAGCAGAAAAGCCAGGGTGAAGCCCCACTTCCTATGTCTAAACCGTTCTAATTTCTGGTTACACACATTTGGAGAAGTTTTATTTATTAGTTTATTCTTCAAAGGCAACTGCTTTGAAGTCATTGCATAGGACTAATACACAGGTTTCTGTCTTAAATTAAGGGAGATGGAAACGCCAGGCATTGCCAACCCCACCACTGTGCAGAAGCCTCCAGGAATTTCAGTGTCCGTGCAAACAGAAGCTAGCTGGCTTTATGAACATGCCTACAAAAAATCACGTAAGAAACAGCTTTGCTCAAAAAGCAGGTTGTTCACCTGCATTCTTTCACACAGGCTGCCTGGTGCCCAAATGCCTGCTGTATGCATCCTGCCATTTCCCCAGGAACTTCCTGCACACCAGCACTAGCCCAGGGGCAGCCCCAGCAGTCCCCTCACCATCCGCTGCAGAACTGCTTCCAGACAAACCTCTGGGCCCCCGCAGCATGTGCAGGAATGCTGCACCAGCCAGTGGGTGTAGAAGTGCTCAGCAGATGGCAGGAATAGCTTATTGTATTCTTTTGAGAGGTACTTCAAAGCCTCTAAGGACAGCTGAAAATACATCAACCTTTTTTCTCCTCCTGCTCAGCTGAGTCATCCATACATGTGACTCAGGAGCCAGCCCCTCCACTTACTGGGTGAAGCAGGTTGTACTGTAGCAGGCAATATGTTAAGATCAGGCAGAAACTAAAACTAGCCCTTTTGGGCACCCCATCAAGCATCCTTTGTGCATTTTCAATGCCAGGCAGTCACAGAATGGATGAGGTTGGGAGGTACCTCTGAAGATCATGTAGTCCAAACCCTGCTGAGCAGGATCACCTAGAGAACATTGTGCAGGATGGCATCCAGTCCTCCTCTGCAGGGGGACATCTGTGCCTCCAGGAGCAGGAATAGCAACCTGGGTTGTAAAACACAGCACCCCACCTAGATGTAGTGGGGAAAGCTGTGTGCAGATCCATCCCAATAGAAAGGGGGTGTGCAGAGCCTACAACAGACCAAGAATGCTCTCTGCTAACCCTTGGAGAACGTTTGGAAGGTCACTGCAAACATCTTTGCAGGGGAAAAGCGTTACAGACTTTTTAGTTTAGGTGGAGGTTCACATCTTCGCAGGATGACTGTCACTGTCATGGTTAAAGTACAGAAAAAAAAAAAAAAAAACTTGTGCCAGTGGTAAATCATCTACCTGTGTAGGAATATAGCAGTAGTAGATAGAGGTGATATAGAAGGCAGGTCAAGGAGGGGGAACGTCCCCTAGCATTGTAGCCTGGTACTGGGCTTCCTGGCAAGCCCTCAGTACTGCAGCACGTGCAGGGCTATGCCCAGGCTGCACAGTGCTGCTGCTGCGTTTTGCCCTCCTGAAGTCACTTCTTGGGTGGGGGTTGTGAGCGGTTACACTCTGTGACACAGCGTGATTGCAGAGGATAACTACATATATCTTTGAACTGCAATTTAAAAAAAAAAAAAAAGTTCAAGCAAGCCATCAGCCACATCATTCAGTCTTTTAAAAGTATAAGCGACTCCTGTAACATTGCTTTCTGCACTAGTGCATTCATGTCCAGACACACTGCCAAGCAGCAGCTTCCATTGCAGGCCTGAGAACTTGACCTGAGACTGCTGTGATTCTTACCCTGTCCTTTCCAACTACACACTTAGATTTTGTCATATTTTCAGAAGAGAAGGACTTAGAAAGGCATTTGGTATTTCAGCCTACCCAGGACTTCTTTATCTGTCTGAACATTTTCTGGAAAGCAGAATGAGCTTACTTAAATGGACAAGACAAATTGTGTGGCAGCAAAGGGAACTGAAATTCTTGATTAAAAGAACAAGGAAACTGCTTAATATGCCTGGACAGAAAGCAATGGCAGCTCACACACTGACCACATCAGTATTAAAACAGCAGGTGATGCACATGGAGCAGCAGTAAGATGCTCACCTGGGGCAGCTGGGTGTTGGTAACACCACCTGCCTGGAGTGAATGTGGGGCTGCTGAGGACAGTGACAGAGACCCAGTCATAAGAGATTTTTCCTGTCACCTCAGAGGCCAAAACTCTCTTCCTTGCACTTACGCAGCATGGGCTATACGTGGAGATGAGAAAAAACAATTGCCTCTGTGACTCATGCTTCTCAGAACCAGAGAGACCGGAAATGTTTTAGAGTGCAATGCAATATTAGATGAGTGCTACAAGTCATTGACTGTAAGCAATAAGCCATCTCCATGACTTCAGTGGACTGCTTTTAAGGTCAAGCCCATTTCAGGTCCTTGTGGCATTTAGGAAGGGTCACCCTCAGCTCCCGGGCAGCCTTTCTGAAGTTGTAGGAAGGTGTGCATTGAGGAGGGCTCAGGCCACTGATGTAGCTGGTGAGAAAAGGGTGACATGCCAGAAAAAAGGAGGTATGGGAGAGTCTAGGAGATCTTTTTCCTGGGAACATAGCAATGCTGTTCAATAATTCTCATTATTGCTATCACTTGCAGCCCTGCCAGACAAGTTCAGCAGTTTAGATATTTTGTGCAACTTGGAGGTAAGTACTCACCAAGTTCTGTATTTTTATACATGTATTTTGTGCTTCGTGTTTTTACCTTTGAACAAAGATATGACTCCATACTGCTATTTCTTTTTCTTCTTCAAGTTTAAAGAAGATTTTGTGAAGCTGTTCAAGCAGTCGCTACACACGCTCCCCTCTGTTGGCCTGCCAACTATTCTGGCCTACAGACCTGAATCATCATGGGACAGCATGCAGATCGAGGTGGGTCAGTAGCAGTTCCAGAAACCATGCTCCAGAGAAGCCAAGTATTTAAGAAGTATATGCTCAGAAAAAATATTTGAATCAGAAGTGCTAAACACATGATATAGTAAAGAAAGTATGGTTGCCAAACAGCCATAGCAAGTACCCCTTCACCCCTTACTGCTGGGGACAACTGCTGTCTCTCTGAGGAGTGCTGAGCTCAGGTGTGCTGCCTTTGTGAGCAGAGGTGTTAAACAGTGGATTGAGCAGGCTCTTGGCAGCTCCATACACTATATGTCAGTTTCAAAACATGTTTTCAAAAAACAGATTAGTCTTTCAAAATATCTAGCACCAACCTTAAAGTGCATCAGTGCAGCAGCTATGACTTGCATCTAGCTGATTAAAAAAGCTGAACACATTTGACAAGTCTGCTGGTGATTCCTAATGAAATGACACAGATTCTTCTATGATTAACAGAGCTGCAAAACCACAAGCAGTGTATTTGAAAGGGTTAATGCAGCAGAGTACTCAACTGCAGCATTCTGCATGCTCCAGGGCTTTCCCTCTCTTTGGGGTGGATGTGTCTCAAACACTACATTAATTCAATTTCTTTGAGCAGTAGCAGGATTTTTAATTACTACAGATCAGCTTTTCTTTTCAGTAGTTTCCTGAACTTAATGGCCTGATTTAAATTGTTCCAAGATATCACAGACACAGATACGTTTTAACTGTTCTTACACACATCCTTTAAAACGTTGCGTTCCAAGCAAAGCCTTATTTCCCCAATATAAAACAAGGATTTGTGTGCTGATACTATACTTCTGTCATCCATACCTCCACTTTAGGTAGAGGAGGACTGCACTCCAAAGTGTGAGTTCTGTGGTAGCGTGCTGAAGCCATTTCCTTCCTTTGAGGACACTTGCCCACGGTCGCAGGATTATGAATCAGTAAGCTGGTGGGAAAGGATCAGACGATGTTTACTGTGAAAAGGCCTGCTGCAGTGACACTGCTCTTCTGCCTTCCAGAAGTTCTGCTGTGAGCAGAATCGAGACCTCTATGAGTTCATTGTAAAGGAGACAAAGAATCGCGAAAGTGCTTGGGATGTTCCCATTGCTATTGAACCCCATGAGTCCCATGGCACCGAAGCTGAAAGACGCCTGTCAAAGGAGAGAGCGTACCAGAGGTACCATAAAGCGACTATGGAGAGTGCTGAGGATTGCTTTTGTATAACAAACAATAGGCTACTCTGGAGGGAAAAGAAGTGGCAAGAGAATAAAACTACAACAAGTGGGAATGAAAAAAGAGAAAAAAAAAGTCAGGCAACAAGCGCTTATACATGTATTCTGTCTAGACCCTCTTGGCTTTTCTTTTACTAATTTGTATGAGAGGGTGCAAAGCATGTGCTTTCTGTTCATAATAGATACAACATACCCAGACACAGGTAGGGCCCAAAATGTAACTGCAGCTATGGCAGGGACAATATTTGGGTCTCACTTTTTCCCCATGTGCCAAAACAATGCTTGAATTTTTATTTCCCTATTTTGTTGCATAAATTGTGACACGCATCTGGATTCCAATTTGCAGAAGCCTTAAGAACTCTGAGTTTGACTTCTGCTGCGTTCTTTAGATATCTGTATAAGCTTAGGGCCTCCTGCTAAGCATAAGGCATAGGCTTAAAGAAAAGTAATGCAGCACACCTGGAAGTAAACTGCTAGTTTCCCTAAAGATCCTCTGCAGCCTGATGGTGTGACTACCTCATATTATACACAGAACACTAACCAAAGCCATTGTTAGGCATAGTCAAGTTTATGAGAAGCTAAGCAAGAAAAAAATAGTGAAAATATTCTTGTACATCACTTGTCTTGTTCATCTAGCGAACAGACCTCCTTATACTTAAAAACCCTCATATAAAATTCATTAATACATTAAGCTTTGCTATCAGTAGAGTTGATACCATTGCAATCACAGAGTTAATTCACTAAAATCTCTGTATGGGAGAAATTCGTCTTTGCTGAGATAATATTAGACTGATAACCTGATCTCCTTCTTAGGGATATGGCTTAGTGGGGACTGTTAGTGTTAGGTTAGAGGTTGGACTCGATGATCTTGAGGTCTCTTCCAACCTAGAAATTCTGTGATTCTGTGATAATATGCCATTGTTTCCAATAGTTATTTGCAATTATAGTAGTGGAGAGAAAAACAAATACAAAAACTTGCATTCCTACTGCAACAATATCTAGCACTGCTAGCATTTAAAACAGAATATATGAAGTGTGTGCCATGAACGCTTTCATTTTCCAGGCAGCAGGAGAGACAAATGGCCAGACAGTTAGCTTTGCTAGCAGCTGAGACAACAACTGTAGCTGAATGTGAGTTTGCATTTATCTACCTATTTATTTATCTATTTATCACAACAACGAATTTAGTGGAATTGCTCATCTCTAATGGTCTCTAATTGAATAGGAAGATTTATGCAGTGACGTGCTAGTTCATTGTCCAGTGTGCAATCCCATTATTTAATATAGCTTCATCTAATTTAATCTCTCACACAAAAAAAGCAAGAACAGTTACATGGCCATTGCACAGAGAGGACCTACCTTACTATGACTTTCAGTGCTTCTGCCTGGACATTTCCACAGAGATGCACAGAGATTGACATTAAAGAGCTATAGCCTTGTAAAGCCAACCCCTTGGAAGGTAGGAAGGTTTTATCTAATGAAGTGAGCACTCTGAACTCCCAGCTCAGACTACAGGTGACTAAGCAGCTTTTGGGATCTAGTGAGTAACAGCAAAGCCCTTTTGACTAAGAACAGGTAAATTGGGTTTCAAATATGGGCATATTTTCCACAGAATATGCCAAGACAATAAGGTATGCTCTATCATCTAGGGTTGCTTATTCTCAGTCCTTTAGAGCACAGAGCCACAAGTGCTTTCTAAAAAATGTCATTACTTACACACATATATATGTAGGAAACTGGACTCTGAAGTAGCCGAACAGCAAGGACAATCCTTGTTAGATAAAAAGCACCCCAAGACACTCCCAGGATGGAGCGTTTCAGACAGAGATTTGCATTCCACCAAATTACTGTCTCCCTGCAGAGACATCAGGCAGCCCTGACATCAGAGGTACCAGCCCTACCTGACACACACAAACCTTTCCCTTTCCCTTTAGGTTCAAGACAACCTGGCACGATTTCTTACCTGCTTTCTCAGGAGCCACCATCTCCAACAGGCTGGACACTGGTACCTGGTGAAAGAGCAGAAAAGCTCAAAGAGGAGACCCATCTCCTACAGCATCACCTGCTGTGACTTCACCATTGTGGGCGGAAGGGCAAGTAGCTGCTGCTTGATGGGACGAGCTGCAGCTGGACTGCACCCACACTGCAGAGCAACTGGAGCCCTGCACTGGTGCCTTTAATGGGGCAGCTGTGTGCAGGATGTCTGTCATTCATTTTATTGTTTCTTTTCTAATCTTAGGTAGTGAAGAATGAACTGTTGGAAAAATACTACAAACATGGAGGAAAATTTCTTACCATGCTTCCAGATGGAACAGCGCAGATATTGTATCCTTACAGGGCTTACCTGCCAGCACTAGTCCAGGGCTGGAAATGTAATGTTACGTGTGTTCTAGACTGCTTCATCACAGAATAACCTGGCCCACCACTTCCACTGTCAAACAAACAAACAAACAAACAAAAAGCAGTAGTGAAACAGCTTAAATTGCCCTTGGTGTAAAATATTTTCAGATCAGCCAGTAACTCTGATGAAGGAATGGCACTTGTGTGTTTAATACCCAGCTTAAACATGCCAGCTTGGTGTTCACACCTGCTCCCAAGCTGTGATCCCATGGGGGAAGGCCTTGCTGCCAGCCCCAATGAGACAAAAACCACCTGCTGTTCAGATGTTCAGGCCATTTTTTCCCCTGGTTGTTCCTTTTTTTTCTTTTTTTTTTTTTTTTTTAAGCTCTGTGAGACCTGCCCCTGCTTCCTGTTTCACGTTGCAGGGCTTGTACTTTCAATAATATTTGTTACAGGCTCCACAAATGTGTCATTAAGGCTTCTAAGCAATTCTGCCCGGGTTATTGGTTAAAAAACAACAAAAAAGTGTACTCTGACCACTTATTTTGTCAGTGTACAGAAAACTAATGTAGAAAAACAAACTTTGGCCCTTTCCCAGGTAGCACTGGCTGCACACCACCATTCTGCCTTTAACACAATAATACAGGTAATACAGCAACTTCTATAGTTTAAAGTAGTGCTCTGAAATATTTAGTATGTAAAAGCAGATCAAACGCAAACAAAGGCATTGTGAACACCTTATCTGACAATAGCTATCCATCTGGAAATCTGGCAGTCATTGTTATACGAGAAAGAAAATGGTTTATTTGCATAGTACAGGAAGACAAGCACACTAACGCCGAAATACAAGCACTATTTGAGTCCAATGGCAGAAGTACTTGTTATTACCCACACGGATCCGTATGGTACGTTTGTGTCAATCATAGCATCTTTTCTGTCCACTGCACATTTTATATTTCAAAGGTCATAAAATGTATTTTTAGCAGCACTCAGAAATTAAAAGGCAGATATAGCATAGAGGAGATATGATCTGTAGGGAGAGCAAGTGTGTTTTACAGACTCATTAATGCCATTGGGAAAAAGCAGTCTTTCAGAGACACAGCAGTGTGTGCCAAGTTGATGCAGCATCCCCTTGTTCCATGGAAATTCTTCCTATGAAGGGAGGAAGCCTTGGCTCAGAGGTGTTCCGGACAAAATTAAGATTAAACCTACCCATTTCCTCTCCCCACAACAGAGAAATATTTGCCCACAGTAGTGTAGAAATGCAAAACTCTGAAACTGGTTGTGAGTTTTTTTGTTGGTTTTTTTTTGTTTTGTTTTGTTTTGTTTTGTTTTGTTTTTGCAAACAGGTAAGGAGGAGAAAGCACTCAGTGTGCTACTGGCCTCTCGTTTTTATGCTTTTATTTTTGTATCCTGGCTGCAGCTGGGTAGTTTCCAAGGGCTGAGCACCCCAGAAGCAGCTAAGCACCACTCCCATTGTGGTGCCAAGCTTGTGGCCTTGTGCTGGGAACCTCCCTGAAAAGAAGGGCTGTTCCTCATTGTGTTTGTGGGGGTTTAAACTGTAAACTGGCTGTGCCTTGGCTTGCAGAGCACTGACTTGAGATCCTGTCCCTGTGGGTTTGTCAGGGATATGGGCAGTGGAAGAGCAGGATGCACCACCTTGATGTGGATTTTCCTCTCTTTTAGGATAAACATGAATGTTCAGGGAGGGCAGTATTTGGACAAGGCAGGCAGCAGGGTGAGAAGGTGGACATGGCCAAACAGCTTAACATCATCAGGACTCTGCGTCCCGCTCAGACCCATCTTCATCTCCCTGAACCAGCACGTGGGGGTCAGGATTGTGGGCCAGGACAAGATCACTGTTTCCTTCCTCGCCATGGGACAACAAGCAAAATTCAATGTGGGAACCAGAGTGCAGGTATTTCTCAAGTGTGCGGGCAGCTCTACACACAGCTGCTCCCTGCAGCAGGAGTGGGGCAGCCGGGGAAGCTCCTGCCCACAGATCACACTCACCCCACGGTGGGTGCCCCCTGCCTTGCCCTGCAGCCCCAGGGTCACCCAGCTCTGCAGGTCTCTCTCCCGGTGAGAGGCCTCACCCCAAATCCCATTCCTTGGTGCCAGCTCATGGCCACGGCTCCACTGACACCGCTCACCTCCACTCCTGCCAGGTCAGCCCTGCCAGCCGGCCGTGTCCGCCCACCCTGCTGAGTGAAGACGACCTCCTGCTGCTGGCCCTCAGGGTGAGGATCCTGCGGCTCTTCGATAAACTGCGCGGATGCTTAAGCTTTCCATCCAATGAGCAGTGGGAAAAAATCAAGCCTCCAGCATACCTTATGACGCAGACTTTAAAGATCTTACACCTTTGCACAACTTCTGACCTAAGTGAAGAGCTGCGCAGCTCAGTTAGGGCAATAGTAAATGCTCAGGTCTGACCAGCGTGTATGATGTGAAGGCAAAATGAGCCAAGCCTGGGAAGAGACAGAGATGCCCCTGAAGCTGTGGCACCTGTGTGCTCAGCAAGGTTCCACCTGCAGCTTTTCCCCGCTGTGGTGTGGAGCCAAGGACAGGCTGCAGCCCTTCTGCACAGCCACTCTCCTGTGGCCCTCCCACCTGACAGGTGCTCAGCGTAAGTGAGGCTGAGGTGCAAGAAGCACCAGCTCACATTTTGGTGTGAGCTCAGGGCGAAATACATCTTGTCTGTCAGGCTTGAAGAGGGGCTTTGCCCAGGGTACAATAAATCCATGCTTGATGTTGGTGCATCGCTCCTGAGTGTCTTTTTTCCATCTCCCCAAAGAAACCAGCCCAGGCTGAGCAGCCATTTCAGCCCATAAATTTGGCACAAAGAGGAAAACAATCAGAGCACAGGCTAAGGCACAGCCTGTGACAGGAAGGCAGGGAAGAGGCATTCACTCAGAGGTTGCCTGCACGGGCACCTCTCCATGCAGCCAGCATCTGCTGAGGACGTGGCACCCCCGGCATGTCCGGACTTCCCTGGAGGGAGCTGAGCGCCCTACAGCAGCGTGGCCTGCTGCAGCCGTGAGACAGCGATTCTCCCATGCAGAGGGAGACAAAAGGCCACAGTGCACCCAAAGCGATCCCGAGGCACTGCCTCAGCAGTGCTGGGATGTGGGGACAGTGCAGTTAATGCAGATACCAGACGGCACAGCCCCTGGCAGCAGCTCCTGAGCAGCTGACGGACCAGGAGGGTCCCACTTCACACCCGCACGGACCATGTGTCACCCTCTGCTAGGGGCCCGACAACCACAGGAGGAGTGCAGGCAGAGGCAGCGGGACATGGGCGCCTCACGACCCAGGTGCCTCAGGCCAGCCCCCGTCCCAGCTCCCCACGGTTCGGACATTGGAAGCCAGGGGCTTCACTCGGTGCCTTGCCCTGCATTTGAGCAGCTTCGCGAGGTGGCTTCTGATGTCTTTGCTGTGCAGGGCATAGATGAGGGGGTTGATGAGGGAGTTGGTCTCGCCCAGCAGGAATAAGGCGTCCTTGAGTGTGTCAGACAGGTTGCAGGAGCTGCAGGCGGCCTGCACGGTGCCCCCCACCAGGTACGGCCCCCAGGAGAGGCTGAAGCCGATGATGACGATGAGCACGGTCCGCAGCGCCTTGAAGTGGCGCAGGCGGGAGCGGAGGCTCCCAGCCTGGGCGCAGGCGTGCTGCAGCCGCTTGTGCTGCAGGTAGGCGATGCTGCCCACCGAGACGTGCAGGCACACCAGCACCAGCAGGGACGGAGCAAAGATGCCAAAGCAGATCGTGTAGAGATACTCGCTCTTGGCTGCATAGAGGAGCCCGCAGTAACCTGTGTAGTTGCTTTGCTGGAGAGAGGGAAAGATCAGAGGCAAGTGTCCAAAAAGGAAGGAGAGCATCCAGAGGACAATGAGGGAAAGGACCACGGGCGTTTTCTTTGGGAGGGTGGGGTAGGAGAGCGGCAGCCTCACCGCCAGGTACCTGTCCAGAGAGATGAGGAGCAGGGTCAGGATGGAGCCGATGCACGGCGTCATGCTCATGGCGATGCGCAGGAGGCAGAAGGACTTGCTGCGGTCGAAGTCCCCATCAAGGATGTCATCCAGCGCCTCACAAATGCACATCACACCCACCAGCAGGTCGGCGGTGGCCAGGTTGAGGATGTAGATGTAGCTGGTGCCTGGCTGCTTCCTCATCAGCTGGTAGACAGCCACAATCACCAGCAGGTTGGCCGGGGGAATGAGGCAGCTCAGGAGGGAGTGCAGCACCGTGTACAGGATATTGACCATTGTCCCTGATGAGGAGGGTCGTGACAGATGCCCAGAAAAAACAGACCCCAGCACAAAGTAATCCTGCTGTGAGGAGAAGCGTGGCCAAGCTGGTGGGATGGGACAGAAGTGCTTCAGCTCCTCCAGCTGCAGATTGAGGCCAGGAGCATCTAAGTCAGTCCTTTAGGAGGTGCTTAGTCCATCCCAGGAGACCTCTGGGACCATCCCAGTTGCCACCAGTCGCCAGTGTTTTTTCCAGCACTTTCAGCCTCTCTTCTTCCCATCTGACTCTGTTCCACACCCGCAAGGATGCTCCAAGCAATGCAGAAGAGCTGCTGCTCTCATCCATGCTCGGTGTGAGTGGCTGCAGGGGGAACTCTCCGGGGAGGAGTGTGCTGCAGGGGCAGGGGCTGGGTTGGCCGGCTCCTGAGCACGCCCGTGACGCACAGCGATAAGGAGCAGCTTTCCAAGCAAAGCCGAGGGGGCGGATGGCAGCTGCTCCCGGGCACCCGCAGTCGGTGGGGATACGAACCTGGTGTGAGGCCGCTCTGCCCGCAGCAGAGGTCTGAGGAGGCCCCCGAGAGCTCTGTGCCATGCAGCCTCCTTCTCCTGGTGCCCGCAGACCAGCCCTGGCACTTTGCATAGGAGTATTTTAGACCCTAAGGAAATGCTTTTGTTGAGGCGTTTGCAGACCAGAGTGTGGCAAACGTGACTGCTGGGGCTGCCTGTGCTGCAGCAACCCCTGTGCCTGTGCTGCCGGGCAGCACACACGACCCGTGGGGTCTGGGCAGCACCGCAGGTTTTGGAGGGTCTGAGACCAGGAGAAACAAAGGAGCACTGGAGATACCAGGGGAGCGTGGCAATACCTGGACAGTTCTTCACTGTCCCAGAGCTTGTCGGGTTCTCCTGACAATGGGTCAGAAAAGATGCTTGTCTAACGTTAGCTTTTATCATACGCAGCTGTAAATGCAGCACTAACTGGAAGTGACATGGTAAACAAGTTCAAAAATATTAAATCCAATTTATGTCAGATTAGGCTTAGGATAAACATACCATATTCATTAAATTCACATTTATGGCAGATCTGGAATTTACGTTCACCAGTTCAAGACAGATATTGCTTGCAAGCTCTTGTTAATGCGTGGCGTGATGGCTCTGCTAATGGCACTGCAAACACTGCTGGAGGAGTGCGTGCCCTGCCGCAGTCACGCACGGCACCGCGAGGCCCTGCACGCCCTGGGAAGCTGCCTCATGCGGGCGGAAAGGGAAGCAGAGCTATCGGTCACGCTCGGTAACCTGCCCTTGTTCTCGTCTCATCACCACGGTGTAAACACGTGCAGGACCTTTGAGAAAGGGCAGGTACTGGGTGTTCAACACGATAACTGAGGTTTAAACCCATGCCAAAGGCTGTAGCATGGTCTGCTGGGCAAAACTGCGTCCTCAGAGCACTGGAGGCAACAGGGCATCAGCACGTGCCCTCCGGCTGAATACATGGAAAATGCAGAGGGTCCAGAAAGCCCTGCACTGAGTATTTTTGGAGACAGGGAGCTTGGAGAGGGTGAATGGGAAACTGTGTGTGCTCAGCCTGAGGTACGTCCTCTTGGCTGCTGCTGGAGGTGGGTTCCCAGGCTCGGGGCACCCAAGGTCCGAACCCATCCAGCTGTGCTGAAGCTAAATTCCAGGAAGCATTGGCTTCAGGCTGAACAAGTCCTCCTGGTTGGAGGGCCACAAGTATTGAGTTGTCATCTGGTGTTTGGTAGTTGGTTTGTGGGGAGGCTGTCAGATATTGCTGACTTCAGTGACGAGCAAGGCTCTTTTTTCCATTTTGTCATTCAGTTTTTCAATTGGAAATGATCCGTGACTAACGTTCATGAGGCCTGGTCCAGCCCATAGGAACAATCTGCTCTGTGCACCCTACAACCCTACAATTACAGACATGAGCACAGCCAGCCTGTGCTCCCCTAGCAGAGCCGAGGGCTGTGCTCCTGCTGGATTTAAAGAACACCAGCCCAGGTTCTCCTGTACCTTACTACAACGTGTTGTTACGCAATCTTGCAGAGATGAAAGAAGAGGAATATTGTGGGCAGCGAGCAGATCATGGGCAAATATCACCAGGGTGATACCACAAACAGCTCACGGAAAATCATAGCCTAGCAACACATCTGTGCACTTATTTGTTCTGTCTGATCTGCCTGAAGTACGTATCTAATGAGAAACTAAAGCTCTCTGCACACCAGACATTTTGGTTAATATATTTCAGAAGAGATTGCGTGGATTACCTGAAAAGATGATTTCAGCATAGAATCAAGAGGCCATTGTATGTTTAATGGCTGTGATTAGCAACGCCTTTATAGCAATCGGTGTCAATTTTTCTTTCCTCTAGGTGGACAGAGCTTTGAAATTATCTGAAACATTACTTAAAGCATTCCTTAAAGTCTTGAGGTGGGTCAAAGTCTGCTCTTACAAACCATGGCAACTGCCCTCATGACAGCTCTGCAGATTCCCTTCTTGTCTGATTTACTGCCCCAGCAGAGAAAATCTCCCAGCCTCAGCTCCCCACCCAAAGGTAATTTTTGATAAGAAGGATCCGGGAAGTACTTTACAAGGGGGGCAAAACTCAGTAGCTCAGGGCAGGAACAAAAAGCAGAGTGGGAGATGAGATGTCTCTAGCTCAGCAGGGGCAAGGCGCTGAGGATCCCAGCTGTGCTGTGCAGCCTCACTGGAAGCAGGTTTCTGCCTGTTCTGATGGCAGAAGGGGCTCAGCATGAGCCAAAAGAGCAGGGCCAGAGCAGGACCTGCAGCTACCACAGCTCAGCCCCAGCAGAAACCTGAGCGCGTTTATTCTCAAGGAGAGGACTCAGCCCTGGGCACAACTCCCTCCCAGGCAGGGCGAGGTGGAACGATAGCGATGCCACCGCCCGGAGGACAGCCCCAGGACAACACCCCAACAATCAGAGCGCTGCAGCTTCCACAGACGCCTAATCCCACCCAGCACCTGCTGCAGCCACCCAGTGCTGGCTGCACAGCTCCCCAGCAGGAGCAACTTTCAGGAGCTTCCTTGCCACGGTGTAAAACTGCAGCCCTGGCCTTCACAGCCTCCCCCGTGGTCCTTAGCACAGGAGCTCCCCGGAGCCCCCCTCAGAGGCACTATCGTAGGAGGCTGACCCATCTCGTGCAAACCCCCATCCCCACACAAGCGCTGCGGTTCCTCACCCAGCCATGCACGGCGCTCACAGAAGACAATGAACACACTGCTGACTTTGGGAAGTGGACTCTTTATGTATTTTTCGGTTACAATTCTAAGAATATCATCACCATCAGTGACTCAAACAAGGTACTTCACACAGTCAATGAGAACTCTTTATTTAAATTAATTTCCTTAGCTTCTATTGAGGACAGTGAAAGGCCCAGCTTTTCAACTCTTCAGAATGGTCACAGGAGAACCTCTTGAGCTGGCCGACACAATTTAAAAAGCAGTTGACCTGAATTTTTACTGAATTCACAAAATGATGCAATTACTCTGCATATAATTTTGTTCATATAATTTAGTATATACGCACTGTTTAACTCTGCCATATATTTTGAAAAATATACAACCCTGCTTTAACCACATTAGAGATATTTGATAAGACAGCTGTCAATTACTTAACAGATTAGGACAATATCAGACACTCCTATAACTTCACTTCAAACTACAAAAAGAACATAAACCCATATAAAATACAACAGATTAAACAAACTTTTTCCAAGGGATAATTAGGTATTAACTCAATCTGCCATTGTGTGAAACATGAATATAAAATAAGTTACAATTAGTAATGCCTGCATCGTTGAGCTGTGAACTGGTCGAATGAAATCTTAAAAAAACTATACAGTATTATTGCACTCCATGAATGTGCAGTATCTGGAGACACACCAGCACTGAAAGATGTCTTCCATTAAGGTTTTTTCAGGAGGCACGACGTGACTGCAGGAGAAGCATCCAGTCTGTACCAACAGCAAGCTGTCTTCAGTACAGGCCTTCATTGGTCCGAGACACGCGGCCCTTGGAAATCACCACTTAACTCCTGAAAACAGAGACACAAGTGTTACAGCAGGCAACACTCCTGAGTTAAACGAGCAAGCCATCGAAAAAAAGCCGTGAGTTAAATGAGCAAGTTAAATGTAGTCAGCACTGCCCAAACAGAATGCATTTGCTGTAAACTAGGAAGAAAGGCAGGCTACGTGTGCTTCAGGTAATAAAAACTGAATTATAAGCAGTGTCTCTTGTGAGGTTGTAACTCCTGACAAGAGGGGATTATTATTATTTTATTCTGAACAGTTGTCTACGAGGATACGATCAGAGTGATACTACATCAGTATGAATTAAATAAGGAGACGCTAGAACACAGGCAGGGAGCCTCACTACCAGAGTCATCCGGATGTGTCGCGTTAATTTCCATGTGGATAGAAATACCACCGAAGGCTTTCAGTTTTGTATTTTAACTTACATCCTCTTAGAGGGAACTCTACAAAAGAACAGTCTTAGCATGTGTTGTAAGCTTAAAAACGTTGAAATCTACTTTGCAACACAAAAAATGGTGTCTTGAGATTCTCCAAATCTGTACATACAGGATGTCAGGCTTCAGCATGCAGATCTAAGAAGTACTGGAAATACCCAACTTTTAAATAATTACGTTTCTAAAATACAAAAGGACTTCACAATTAAGGCGACTTCTGCTATATTACCAACAGACAAACTGAACTTAACTGAATAAATAAGTTATGTCTGCAAAAATCAGAAGTCAATGGCTTCTCATATTCCCTGCACTGCTACTTCAACATAACATCTCTGAATTGCTCTCCCTGTTTCATGAAGCTGCGCAAGTGTTTGTGGAGGGAGAGCTCAACAGGTCAGAAGAGCTGGGCAGCACAGGTCTGTCACTTGAGAGTGGGGGTGTCTGCTGCCAAGGTAATGCCAAGCAATTGGTCTCCAAATCCGAAGCATTCTTTTGCAAAAAGCTGTACCCCAGTTTTTTCAATCAAGAATTCACGAGTGGTCCCTTAAACGTAGATTCTCCACTTTTGCACCAAGATAGTTTTTTCCTGGCACATCTCTGTTCCTGTGAAGAACCGTAAGCTAGATGTATTGAAAAGTCAGAACTGATGCCGGAACACTGAACTGGCTCAGCATAAAGCACAGAAGCATGGATATGACCACTCAACCCCTGCTTCTAACAGTCAAGGAACGTTTGCAAAAGGCTAAAACGGTACAGTACACACATAAAGGCAAGAAAGCATGTTCTACTTTCTAGGGTCATGCAATTAAATTCAGTTACAAACTGTAGACAAATCCTTCGCACACAGACTATCGTAAGGCACATAACAAAGCATGTTTTCTGATGTCTAATACAGCTCATTAACGCAAGTTTTTTTCTGGCCAAAGGAAAACCAGCTCTCAGTTTTGAAACAAACCCCAGAACAAAACCTCCTACTAGAACAGTACCTGTGAAATCATTTAACTGAAAGTCACTACAACTGTTTGGGGTTTTTCTTCAGTAAAACACTTTTAAATGAACAAATATCAAATACTACGTTCAATCTGCAACATGCAGCCCTTTATATCCAAGTGAACAGGCAGCTGGTGACTGGAAGAATACTTACAAGAAGTTTCAGTGCTGTTAGATGGGGCTATGATCGATGATGAGGCATTGACTCCATGTGCACGTTGAGCTTCATTTCATTATCAAGAATTTGTACAAGCTGCTGCATGGAAGGAAGGTGGCCAGACTCTAACTTAGACCACACCGGAACATCTACCACAAAACACATGGAGAAAACACAGTTAAATTGACAAAGGAACATGTAGGGCCAGTTTATGCAAACTTTAAAAGATCCAGGAACCTACGCAGGTTGGTACTAATTTTTTGTTGAGAGAAATATCTGGATCAACACTGCTTCAGCTACTCTGATACGATGCAGTCAGCCTTTACAAAGGCTCTGGAGGATAAAACTCAATTTAGGAACTACTACACTGAAACGCACCCTGCACAATTATAAATAGAAAAAAAAAGCACACAACTAGATTATAGACCTGTACCTACAGCCTGAAAAAAAAAATGTACTCTGTGAGGCTTACATAATCTTTAAAACCATAGAATTATTTGAAGGCAGAAGGTCCACAGACTCTTAACCTGAGACATCGGTACTGCTGTCTACCAGTACTGGAAATTCTGGGAATATCAATAGACTTAACATGACTGCAAGTCCAAACCATATTTAAAAACGAAAGCATCGAACTGGAAACTGTTCCTCTAGTTGATCGTTCCTTCCTTAATGCGCATCACACGCAACGAAAACACAATACAGCTACTCCAAGTGATCAAACATTCTCCTAAGGTTTTTTTACACTGCAACTGTTAAATACATGTAAGTGACCGTACTGTAAGACATGCACAATTTTCATCATGCACTGTGACACGAACATCTGCAGTTTGAGGATGGAAGGCATTACACACACCGTCACGTCCTGGAACCCGCCCATTTCACACCACCAGCCCTCACCCTCCCAACCCGACGGCTGACCAACAGCTCTCACAGATCTCTGTACACACACACCACGACTCCCAGAAGAGAAAGTTTGTGCCTCACCATTCAAAGTTATCTCAAATGCACCTGTTGACATACACTGGTTCTCAATCATGTTGCTCAGGAAGAAAACCATCATACACGCATAAACCTGGAAGAGAACAGAGAGACTTTGGCCACGTACAGCACGGCTTATTTTATTCACTCAGAAATGCTGGAGTTTACAGGCATCTTTGTATTCCCCTTTACAATAATGAAGTAGTCTTAAAGTGGCATAGCCATCTTCCTTTCATCCTCTCTGTAAAAAAGATTTTGCACACTGACTTTCAAAGACAGGTATTACAATTGTTCTGAAACCACCCAGCTCACAGTTCTGACTCAAAGAAGCAAAGTCGCACCTCCTTTCTCCCTCCCTCCACAGATCTCTGCACATCTCAACAGCCCGTCTGCAGAAGTACGTGGCTAAGATGGCACTTGTAGGAGGACAAGGGAACGCGGATGTTCCTACACACTGCCTGTCATTTTCAGAGTAACACTCAGATTTAACACAGAAACTGAACAATGGCAGGTCTAGACACACGGCAATGTCAAACTGCCTCGTTTGCAGCAATTGCCAACCCTGGAGCATTTCTTCAAACTAATAATTTAGCATTTTCTTTTGTGCACTGGTGCCTCATGAAGAACTGATGCAATCTCCAGCAATGCAGCACCTCACTCCATGGCCACCACAGCTTTAATTCCCTCTTCATGCAGAAGGGCACAGTCACACCGGGTGCTGCGATGCCTGTGGATTTGCATGGGAGATGTCAGCTGTTGAGGACACCACGGGCGTAGCACAGCCAGCCCAGCTCGGTCCTGCATTTGGCCCGTTCAACTCCACGTGGTGTGTTACAGCCTCTGTACGTCCACCCTGACTGAAGACACAGCCAGAGCTGCTGCACTGGGTAGCTCTGGGAGGTCCGTGCACCAGTGAAATACATGCAGGTTAACAGACTTATACGTTGCTTATACATCTGGAATAAGGTTATTATAAATCAGAGTACAATGCCATCGACCTGTTAGTATCAGCAGCACTGACTCACGGGGATATTCATCCCACAAGTCAGAGGCTGTCATGCCCAAGTAAGTTCTGGAAAAAAAACAAACGAACAGAATTTCAATTTGATTTTTCTAGCCACGATCACGTTGGATGCCTACTCTATTAAAATTGGACAAAAGCAACCACTGCAAAATAGCCCTGAGACAACAGAAAAAGGAAGCTGTAGTTTTAATAAAAATACCAGCTTGGCACTCTACCTGAGCCCTTAAGGAAAAATAAAATAAAATAAAAAAACCACCACAGTGCCTTCTTAATAACCGCGGCGTTTCTTTAGCAAACAGTGTTACATCTCTATCAGTAATGTTGACCACATCTGTTCCTCTACAGCACCATCAGCTTGGAAAGAGAAATACCAGGAATTAAACCAAAAGTTACAGGAGCCTGAAGGCTCTGTTAAGACTACAGCGTGCTCAAGTCAGCAGCAACGTTCAGCCCTCCCACAGGACCCTCATGAAGCCATGCTAAAACTGCTTTTCAAAAATAAAAGATGAAAGCAACCAGTTTACCTTATTTTCTTGGCCCCACTGCCAGATGCTTGGAGCTTGCATGCCAAAGAAAGCAAATGGATCCTTGCCAACAATTATTAAGCCTATTAATACTAGTTTGAAGACGGACAGGAAGGATGCTATATGCCTGTCAAAAGACAACAGATAAGAGTGACTCAGAACATTCCCATTACAACTTCACTGCACATTAGCCAAGATTTACCTCATTAGAATAATTTTCAAAATGTACAATCCAGTGTTTCAGAGGAAATACACATTTTTTCAAGTAAATTTATCTGTCTTTAAAAATATTTGTTACCCGTAAAAGCAACACACATGAACAAGAGCACACATTCTCAGGATACCAGTGTTGTATGCCACACACACAGACTTGTTCCTTTTTTCCCAACCAGACCTTACACAGAAATTCCAACTTAGGCACATCTAAACTAGACAATGCATTTAGCTTCTTGAGGAAGCTGTTCTGTATAACAGAGATGTGTTCAACTGGCATGCACTACTTCCTCTTAAAGCAGCTTTCCAGCAGGTGCAGAGAACTCCACGGAGCTCTGCAGGGATTACGTCTATACCCAGAGAGCACTGAGGAACTCAAACTCGTACCAATCTTACCAGTGTGCTTATTAGGGGTAAGTAGGTCACGAAGTGGCTCAGAAGCCACCACAGTAACTAGTGCGTACACGATGGTTTAAGTACCAGCAGGAAACGCTGTTTTCATTTCTCCAGATTTCTTTGGGCTTTCCTGCCTTCCCCTGTTAAGGTCCCCCAACATCCTCCCCCCTAAATTACATGTTAAAAACAAGTTTTTCTCTACCCTACAGCCCTGACCTATTGCTAGAAACAGACACTAAGTGCATAAGCCTGAGCAACAAACCAGAACTTGTATCCAGATAGATCACGATGAAAAGCTGCAAAACTTCACCGTGAGCAACAGGGACCACACAGGTTACTTTGGGTTCCCTCGGAGCACACCAGGCCCCGTACCACACACAACCATCAGCTCTCCGTACGCACGTTACCACACAGATATCTGGAGGGGAGACAATGCCGAGCTTGCAAGCAATCACAGCAGCAAAAAAAAACCTAAGTTTTGATTTTCAATTTTATTTAACTGCAAAGGCACACATCCACTGCTCCCCGTGAGCACACAGACTGGGAAAAAGAAGAAAACCAAAGGGCGCTGCCCGTGGTTTGCTCACCTATAGATCGGTTGCGGAAGGTAGTTCTCCCCTTCGATGCGGATGTCTGGGTACCGCTGGCTGATGACCCGCATGTACTCCTCAAACACCCGCCTGTAGCCTCAGGAGACGCTGCACACAGACGGCACCGGTCACCGGCCCTGCGCCGAGCCCGGCACCGCCACAGCGCGCCCCGAGCCGCCGGGACCGAGCAGGAAGCTCCACGGCCTCCTGCCGGGGGGGGGGGGGGGGGGAGGCTGCCCGCAGCCGGGTCACAGCGCGGCCCCGGCAGCGCCCCGAGCCCCGCGGCCCCGCCCCGCCGTGCCGGTGCCGCCCGGCCGCTGCAGCGCCGCCCCCGGCTGCCGGTGCGAGCAGGCCCCGAGGCGCCCCCCGAGCCGCAGCCGCGCTCCCCGCCCCCCCTCGGCCTACCCGAGCCCCGCTAACGGCCCCGGCCCCGCCGCCTCCCCCCGCCCAGCCCAGCCCCCGAGGCCCGGCCCCGCCGCGGGGCCCTGGCGGAGGAAGAGGGAAGGAAGGGGGGGAGGGGGGGGTGATCCCGGTCCCGCCCGGCGCCGCCATCTTGCGGCCGCGCTGCCTCACCAGATCTGGAACTTGAGCAGGGGCCCGGTGGCGTAGGCCATGCGCAGCCGCTTGGCGGGCAGCGCGCCCTGCTCGGCCGAGCCGCCGCCCGGCGCCGCCGCCAGCGCCAGCAGCAGCAGCAGCCACGGCCCCGGCCCCGGCCCCGCCGCCCGCATCTCGCCCCAGCGCCGCCGCCGCCGCCGCGCCAAGGTCACGCGAGCCCCGCTCCGCTCCGCGCAGGCGCCGCCCGGCACCGGCCCCGCCCCCGGAAGCCGCGCGAGGCGGGGCCGCCACCGCCCCCCGGGCACCGCGGGGGGGGGCAGGGCCGGGGCCGTCGGAGCTTTGCGGAGGGTGGCTCGGCCCCCGTGTTTCAGGAATTGCAGCCCGGTACCGGAGGAGCAGAAGCAGCGGCGTTATTAAATGCTCTTTATTTTGTATCTGCAGCCCGTACTTGCATAAAGACCGCGTCTCTTTACATACAATAAAGCTATCAAGGCAAACCCCACCGCCTGCCCGCCTCACACCCAACAGGACGCTTCTGATCTTTGTTTTGCTTGGATAGGCTTTACGAACATCAGCACATCTCTGCTTTGAACAGCAACAGCCGTGGCTGCTGGGCTGGTACTGGTTTACAATTTCACGTGCACAAATCCTTAAGAAAGCTTTTAAAAAGGCAAGTGTGCAGAAAAGCTGTAAACTTTTGCATCATCGGTCATTTTCTGGAACCTTTTATTATGTCCAAGTAACTATATATTAGATTTTGGATGAAGGTTTTATTAACACCGTATTGGAGCTCCGTGACGTTTCAGAGGCCCAGTTCTAAGTCCTCCAGTTCCTGAAGGAGAGCAGTTTCTTTCTGAATCTTCTCCAGCTAGAACAAAAAAGCACAAGATAAGACAGATGGAGCTTCTTATACAGGAAATCAAAAAAGCTGTATTTCTGAAGGTAACTTCTGAGTTAGCCAGTAAAGCTAGAGGTACAGCGATAAATGCACACCTGGTGCCTTACCCCGCGGTATCACCCCTTACACCTACAGTATTTAGTTCAAAGAACGCCTGACTCCGTGCTTGAGCCAAGGGGTACTGCAGGCTGAAGCGACCCCATGTGCAAGAAGCGCACAGGGGTATCAGAGGGGGCAGCACAGGAGAGTTCTCACACTTGTTTGGCCGCTGTACACTTGGCGTTGTTTGGTCGGTGTCAGTACTCATTTCCACATAACGCACAGGAGTGGCGTAACAGCAAACATGGCCCTATGATGAATCAAATGGATCATTTGATGGGGGTGCAGCAACAGAGGTGGGGACACCAACTAAACAAACATCAGGTTTGCTCTCTGTGCATTTTGTTGAATGCTTGCTGCTAGGAACTGTCTCTGATTTTGAAATTGAAAGGATGCATCACTTCAAAATCTTACAAAATCTAAACATAATCATCACAAAGCAACACACACCAAACACCGGGGTAAAAGTCCAACACAAGCAAGCTACCCAAATCTTCACAGTACCTGATTCTTCTCTAGCTGCTTGCCAGCAGCTGCTTGTTCTTTCAGCTGCTCAATTGCCTTTAGTTTCTGTGAAAATAAATGTGTATAGGTGAACCAAGAACAGAAAAAACAGTCTTAAAGTTCCTGCACTTGCAATTGCTAGATTTACCAGCAGGCAGTTCTCAATATGGAAGGGACATTTCCTTTAAGCATCTCCAGATGCTCAATCCAGTATTCCCCACCAATAAAAGAGAGATTTATTTTTTTTTCCCCCAAGAACAAGACAACCTAGAGAACAGGAACGCTTAGTTTCTGAAACCAGAACACCATACGTCATCTGACTGAAGGGCCAAATCCATTTCAGAAGTGACTCCTACAGCATCGCTATCCCTCTTCACCACGTATGTTCCTTGGAGGCCCAGGACATAACAGAGGACTGTGAATAGCAGGAGGTGGCCAAAAGGAGAAAAAGCCCTGATGGATTTTGCAGGAATGGGGAAGATTCTCTTAGCCTTAACTGAGCAAATTCCATTCTAAAATTACTTAAATCCAAGAACTTATGAGACTGGCAGTAAACTTTGCACTCATACCAGTTAGGAAGAAACTCAAGCCATGAATCTGAGAAGGGAACAGTGATACAAGATTTAACAATGTTCAAAAGCTTGCTCTCTCCCTCAAGAACACAAAACCAAAACAAAACACCCTTAAGATTAGGGGAAGTAGATTTGTCTTGCTTAGAATCAAAGCATGTTCCCAGATCATCTTGGGCTAGGTGAACGCAGACCAAGAGCAAGAAACTCCCACGGCTGCCTTTATAAAGCATAAAGGCATTTAAGCTATACTCAGTTGTGAGGATTTTGTTGCACATCCAGCAGTATTCATAATTGCAGGCTGGAATGCATTTCCATGCACCCTTCCGTGGCTTCTATGCTGTCTAGACTGAGATGACCTTCAAGAGTCTTGACAAGTGAAGACCTTCTACTATTCTACAAAATGAAAAAGCCAAGGAAGTTGGTTTACAAATTCAGGGACATTACTATCTAAGTAAACACTATCCTGTTGAGCTCGGGTCACCTTACAATCAGACTAGACCTTAAAAAACATCTCTTAGAAAAGTCTGTTGTTCATTTAAGAAATCCCCTTGCCTTTTTTAAGTTCTTTATCTTCTTGTCAGTTTCAGGATCTCCTGATGTCACAGCAGGCACAGCACTCCGTGGTGTGCTCTGAGACGCTGAGGACTGTGTAGATTCCTGGTTGCTATCAGCTTTGGCCTCCTGTAAGCAGATTTAAAAAATAATAATAAATCACATTATCTACAGGAAATACCTTAGATTACAGAAGGACCTGAAAAATCTTTTTCGTCATTTGAACTGCTCCATTTTGTATTTCTTCCTCCTCCGATTTGCTCATATTCTCTAAGATTTGTATGTGCCTTGCTACACTATTTCGTATTACCCATTATATAGGTAACGGCTTTCCTTGGAATGTCACTCATGTTTCTTCTTTAATTTCTACTTCATGAAGACATCAACCATACAAAGCATAGGAAAACACCAGTAAGGATGACATGACAGACATATACACAAATATTTTGTAAAGGAGACTGGAGGGTCATCACCTCTTCGAGACAAAGAAAAGGCTCAAAGACAGTGTAACAAATTCAGGAACATAAGCTCTTGTTGTAAGAAATTATTACTTCAGAAGTCTGCAAAATTCGGAGTGCTAATACCAAAAGCTGATTTTTATCTGCTTAGGTGAAGAACAGCAAAGAAATGAAACAGAAGAACAAGTTCTCTTTGGACTGCCCTGGTAACACGCCTCAGCCCTGAGCTGCAGAGCAAGCCCATTCTCACTTCTTACCCAAGTCTGGAAAGAACCTTGCAGATTCACCTTGCAGGTGAAAAGGCAGAATTGCGTATTGACATTCACTTCATCTAACACCTGCAGCAACCAGCCTCAGCTGTTATTTTTAAGTATGACTAAGGCAGATGCAAAACAATAACTAACACATCTACCGCCCTCCCCAGAAGTGAGCACATGCAAAATCAGTGGATGGGTTTCAGGAAAACTAATGTCATTGCTCTGAGACTGATCACTGGCATTGTGAAAATTAGTTTAACATTATCCTTAAAAGAATTACTTTTGCAGTACCTGTTTAGCAGCTTTCTTTGCTTCATGTTTCTTTTGATTTTTGAGAGCTGTTTTAGAGAGTGGCTTTTCACTGCTTCCTGACTGTGGTTTCATGTTCTGAGGTGGCTCATCCTCATGCTGCAGGATAGGCAAAATTAAGTTTTGAAACCTCTATTCCATGTTGGTACAAAAAAAAAAAACAAACAAAACCAAACAAAAACCTTCCAAATTTACTTAAGACAACACCGTGCACAAAGCTGAACTGTGATGGAAGAAGAAGTACGTGCCCTTCAGCTAGTGGAAGGCCAGTGGTAAAAAGGAGTTCAAACTCCTCCATTCTCAAGTTTTCCCTTTTAGGTGGTACTGTCTGATATTTCCTGAATATTTTACACGTGTCCAGCAAAAGAGCAAAATCATTGTGTTTTATGGAGGTGGGGGAGGAGTGGAAATCAAACAGGAATAGAACAGCTTGGCATTTTGCTTTTGCTGAGAACTTTTTAATCAAGCTCCCTGTGACAAGAAAGAAAAAACGGGTCACCGGGTTGTTTTATAGCTGTTGCTTTTGTTAGTGGAAAGAGGAAATTCTTTACCTCCCCCTCCCCAGCTCCTCAATTAACAGTTAACACATATGACAAGCTGGGAGCAGAGAGCAGGCTGGTAAACTGGGACCTATCCTAACTCAAGTACCCAATTTCACTGTAAACTAAATTTATAGTTTATTGTTCTTGTGCGTGTTGCAGAGAATGGCTTTAAAAGTCTGCAAACAACCTTGTGAAAGAACAGTGTTTGGACAAAAGAAAATTCTGTTCCTAGCACAAATTCTTGCAAACAGTGAGCAAATAATTGGTCGAAGAGGACTGCTAAGAAAACCTCTCAGGAAAAACGTAATACTCCTGTCACTCGGGTTACTCTTCTAATGTTCCTTATAAAAAATATACACATATTTGAGACCAAGCTTCAAAGATAGGCAAAACAATGAAACAGAACAATTTAGTGCATATACGGCAGTCTACTTACAAGCTTGGAACTTGTCACAGGTTTGTTTCTCAAGGCTGGAGGTCTGTATGCCTGGGCAGGTTTTGGCTCAGCACTCGGCAATTCACTCGGAACTGCTTGGTACTTGACTGCTTTCACTGGGAATACTCCATCCAAAAACGGCTGCCAGAAAACCTGCCACATTTCTTCATTTGATGGAACTTCATAGTGGTGTAAAAGAGAGCCAGTGTAGTGCCATATCTTGTAGCCATTACTGACTCGTAGCCTGGGAGCACAGGTAGCGGTTACAATGTGCTCCCCGTCAGGACACCAAGCGAAGTATGTGGAATCCGAGGCTACTGGTTTGGAAACGAGTTTGTAGCTTTTAACGTCCCACACTTCCATCTGTCCCCTGAGATTTCCAAATCCTGCTAGTACTAGGATGTGTCCGTGGGGGCTGTAGTAAGCAGCATTGCGAGGACCGGTTCCAAAATCAAACACAGGGTCACATTTCAGATTAAAAACTGTTGCTTTGGCAGGCATAAAACCATACACAGCACAAAACTCGACTGAATTGGGGTTCCAAACAACATCATAAATAGGACCATTTTTAGCTAAAGGAAAAGG